GTGTGTGTGTGTGTGCGTGCGTGTGTGTGTGTGTATGTTATTTTACACAGATGTGTGTGTGCGTATATACATTATACATATATTAAATTATATATTTATATATGGCAAATATATATATATATATATATATATATATACTAATATTATTATTATTATTATTGTTGTTATTATTATTTTTATTATTTTTATTATTGTTATAGCATTACCAATGTTAGTGTAATTCTTGTTGTATTATTATATCATTGTATGTTGTTATTATTATATATTTTATATTATTATATTATTAAATTATATATATATGGTCTTTAACCTTATATTGTTATATGTATATATATACATATTATATTATTATATGTATATGTGTGTCTGTGTCTGTGTCTGTGTGTCTGTGTGTATATACATGTACACGTGTGCGTGTTGTATTTGGCGTTCAGTAAATATCGCGTATGATAACATCCATAGGAGTCAGGTAGGACTCTTTCCCGCGTAATATGTGGCGTCTCGTATTCGAATGATGCCTGTAGTTGCAAAATGTTTATAGTGTGCTATAGATAGATTCACTTCCACTTTGACATTGACCACCATATGGCGTGCTGAGCAATGGGCTGTGTTAGTATACATCACCTTCGCTTTTCTTTATTATTGTTGGAGCACGCATAGGGCAGCCCTTGATCAATGCATGCTTTCTTTGCTACCTGTTTTTATCTTAAACTTAGACATCTTCTTTTTGTCACCTACAGTGCCACGACTTATATTACAGTGCCACGACTTATTATGATGTCACAAAGGTATGTTCTCGATCCCTTTCTTTTCGTATGGAGAAGTGTTTTGTTGCGAGTGTACAAGAACGGTTTCGGTCATACCACGTGTTTGTTTCTATTCGATGTGTGATTCTAGAAATTTATAGTATAAAACAGGAGGGTACATTTGTACATCTCTTTGTCTGCGTAGTCATACTGAATCGGGTGCCAAGTAAGTAGATCCATCTTTACCCTCCCATTTGGGGCGCTGACATGCAATCCCATCGTGAGTTATAAGCCCGCACAAATATCCTTCATATGCCACTCTATATACTTGGCACGTCCAATCAAGGAGGTTTTATCTTGTGGGTATTAATTATAGTACCTATTGACGCGCGCGTGAGCCTGTCGGTGGAGTTTTGATGATTCTATCACATGTTCGTGCCCGGTAAAACATAAACAAAAACCATGTAGCTCCGAGTGGCGGTAAAGTCAACAGGCTCTGCGAAACGCTTTTCATGTGAGTCTTTTGCACTGGCAAAAGTAAAATTTGTGAACACGCTACTTGCAAAATTCAACATGAACAAAAGCCCCGCTTCCTCATCCTGCATGAATAGGACTTCTGCGTCCAGCACAAAGCAGAAAGCTGCCCTCTATGTACCTCGATCTAGTCGCCGGAGGAAAATTGCTTTCGAAGTTGAAGTAGAATACGCGGAAAATGATGATGCGGCGGTTCTACAAGTTTACCAGGTAATACAGTTGTAGCCCGCCCCTGTACCTACTCTTCGTGTCTATTTCATTACTTTGAATAGCAGGAGGAGCCGTTTCTTCTCCACGGCTGTCTGTAGATATGCAGTACGTCGAGTACGTGGAATATAGATTCAGTATGCTGTGAAGTCTTAAGTCGCTCTTACTAAGATACGCTAACTGTGTGGACATTTATCTCATCAATGGTGATTCCAATCGAATTTAGGGTGATGACCTAAAGAAAATAGCTCAAGACTTTGGCAGGAGCCATCACATGTCAGCTCAGAATATCAAAGCCCTAGCGGTATACCTCAGACAAAAATCGACTGACCTACGAACAAAAGGTTGAACTTCCGCGGCGATCAATCTGCCACACTCGCATCCTGCCGATGGCTGGCACACCACGTTCCATCGGGAGCGTACTGCTTCGTGCTGGTTAAACATCTCCTACGCGTGGTGAGAGTGAGTTCAGAGTAGCTGAGAGTATATATATATATATATATATATATATTGAGTGACCGATGTGGCTCTGCTGTTCCTCTTGGTGTATTGTCTAGACATTTGACTATTCCAATACATGAGCAGGGGAAAGTGTCCGTTGATGAGCAAGCTCAGAGTTGACACCTGCGCCCATGATGTTGTACAACTGAGGTTCAGTATAGAAGCTACGCCGCCACAGTCAGATTCCTAGTCGAGCTTAATTGGAATTGTTGCGCGTTTCACAAAGCCACGACTATGTGCTCAGTTACACTCCTCCGGGACCCTAGCAAGGTGCTATCCGAATTCGATTGTCAACCCAAAATGGGCTGACCACATACATTGACTTGCAGTGTAAGAGCTGGTATGTCCAGCTGCGAAAACTATAGAACAATGGTTCCGGTAGCAACTCCGTGGTGCGGTAGAGAGTCTTCTATGTGAATTTTCATACTCGCCATCACTGGCAAGCCGGACGAAAGCCAGTTTATAGGTCGCCTCTGCTAAAGCTTGCAATTGTACTGCTTAGAATAATATACCGCAGCCAGGTTGTGTATTATATCCTCGACTGTAATGCGGAGGTTCATCGACTTTAATTCTCTCTGTCACTCATATCAGTGAAAGCGGTTGAGGTTGCCCTGCGTTGAGCATGCTCCTCAGTATGTGATGAAGTCAGCCCTCCTGAGCTTTATTGTTGGAAGTCGTTTCGTATACACCAGCAACCACCTCTAATTTGAAGGCACCGCCAGTTGTGTCAGCACATAGCACATGGCAAAGCGTCAGGTACCTTGATCATCATATGTAAAAGGGACACAAAATCTCTAGAAGACTGGGATTACAAAACCTTGTGCTTGACGATTCAATTATTCACAAGATGCCAATAGAAACGGAAGATCAATGCAAACGTTTTCCACCTCGATGGTAGTCGACAGTACTTTATGACAGCTAGCTCGTTGCAAGCAAATTTAGGAACTGGGCTTTTAAAACTCGTAAATGCAAAACTCCTATATCGAGAATGGCGAACAGTCCCTTGAAAACCGGTATTATGAACTAATAATCTGTCGAGACATATAGTGCAAGATGCACGGGGCTGTAGGTAATTTTATTTATTCGACATCAACACTGACTGTTTAGCGCAATTAAATATCACATCCGCAGCCTCTACCGTGCGCAGGTATCAAAGTGCATTAATATTCCATGCATTCCGCTTTGAGAAAACTTGCAATGTACAATAACTCATCCAGAATTACCTGAATATACATCTGTACCAGCACACAACTAACATCCCAACACCTAAGTTCCACTTTCAATAATGCAAATAACTTGGTAAATATTACTGCGTCAGAACTAAACTAAGTTTGGATCAACATGTATTTCTAACAAACACGTACCAAATGACAATATATCGACCATGGTTATACCCAACAAACAATACGGGTACCCCCTAAGCTTGAGTGTCATGAAATATGATCGACGATCACATGCACACACAGAAAGTACAGCAAATGGTTAGTACAAAGTAGGAGAACAAGACCATTACAATCACGTCCTCTACCACTCTTCACTGCGCAAAGCTTCACAGTCCAAGTGAACGCAATTCAATCACTATTCGAATGTTTACACTACGAGAAGTTAAGCATTGTGAAACACTCCATGCGGAGCAAATGCCTTCTCATAGCCAATTCGGTATTTTGAAAACATACCAGATATTATTATATAACGCTTAAAGCGTCACAGCTATAATTCTAAACATAAAACCAACAATCAAGTCACAATCGTTCGTATAACTCTCAAGCTACACACTTCCAATTTCATATGATGTCGGCTCAGTCCTAAATTGTACAAGCAAGAAGAATGCAATACCAGGTGGCAATATATAGATCGAGCAACAGCAAACGAACAGGTGTAACATACATTCATGCATATACGTCACTCTACACGAAAAATAAGCGTCAGAAAAACACTTAGGACCAAAACTACTCAACTCAATGCTCGGGTGCAAACACTTGTTATATAACACTACAAGGCATTTATTATACACCAGAAGTATTTACTCCAAACCAGCATATGGCATAGCGCTGATTCTGGATAGAGTGCTACCCTTAGCTTTAACAGTGTGTGCGGGAAGGGGCTGCTTGGGGTAACGCTTGGTATCAACCTTTACACCATCAACACGACCCTGCGCCTTACGTTTCTCGTTCTCGATCTTTCGGACCAAAAACTCCTCACGACACTTGGAGTGCTTCAAGTGCTCAACACGAACATTGATACGCTTCTTAATGATGCGGTTTCTGTGATATTCAAAGTAAATTATGATGTGATATTTGTGAGCGGTATTCGCATGATAAACATCATATTATTACAAATGTATAAGCCTGCCCACATGAATGCGACAGCCTATCGCAGTTTCTAATTATTAACGATCAGAATATAGTTTGCCATGGCTGATTGATTCTATTCAAACCACCATACCAACCAATATATATAAATGCTCACATCATGAATCAACAAGGCAAATACAGTACTCGAATACGCATACTGTTTGGAAATGACGCACTTGTATATGTTCATACACTGGGCTCAGAAGTTAGTTGTATTTTATCGCAACACTCATTGAGTCCAGGCCCTAATTGTATGCAAGTACAGATGTATATGATTGCACACTAATAAATACTAACAAAAACAAGATATCCTTAATCTAGAGTAATTTGACTAATCTCCCCAAAGTATACAAAGCATGCATACGATCTCATAGTCAATTCATTTAGAAAACATGGTACGGTGTATCACGAATGCTAGCAGAAAAACATGTGCTGAATACATTAGAACTTACCCAACTTGCTTGTTCATGATTACACCAAGGGCAGTTCGGGATACGTTGTACACGATTCCGGTCTTTCCGTGGTAGAACTTGTGGGGCATACCCTTGTGGATAGCACCGTTCACCTTGATGTCAACGATGTCTCCAACCTTGTAGCAGAACAAGTATGTGGAAAGTTTCTCGGGACCTTTCTGGCGGAAACCCCGAGAAAACATATCACGCGTTCCCGCGCGTACACCTTTTGTGCGTCCCATGGTGTCTATTTAGCGTGCAAATGCGAAATGGAGACAAACATATTCAATTAGCAGCCAGGCGATTACCTTGATAGTTGAGGTATATCATCACACTTCGGGCATTAGCAGAAATATACCGGATATCGCTAAACTAATCCTCTCAGAGAATGAAGACTACATAGTGTGAGCGTGATGATTCTAAAATAGCGCGGTGTAGTGTCTCGTTGCACCGGACAAATACTTTTGTCATCCCATTGTTTGTTGATTTTGGATGCCATAGTAAAATTCTGGTTTCTTCACATGGTGTATATTCACTTAAAGAGATATAGTGTACGTGTTCTAGTGCATATTGTATATTTGAACTATATAGATTGCTGAATGTTGACTTCCAACGTATTTTGTCGAGCTTTGCTGTGGATGGGCATAATCGACAGCGTTATTGAATCGCTATTATTCTGCCTTGGCTGTGAATCGGATATGTACATATCTATGTCCGTTTTCTAATTATTCAGTTGCTGCACATCTCAATCTCCCTTCCATCGCCATCTTAACTGTCTCTCGTATTTGAGTATTTATATCATGTATACAATGCTGTGCTTGTGATTCGCTGTGTTGCCAGTGCATATGCCACTATGATTCTCCCGTTTACTATGCGTCAACACAGAATTATCTCATACCAGTGTTATAATAAGGACTGAGGAAGAGACTCAGTCAATACGGGCAGTCAATGTATTTATTTCAGCGACAATTTTAACAATACTTCGTGTTGACCTCACGTGTAGGTTGAGCTGGGCACCCCGCTGTACTGTGAAGGGCCAAATATCCAGGAATTGTTTTTTTAAGAAATAGTTTAGGTTTGAAAACCCAACTTTTGTCGAAATAGGGTCAAAAATCATCTGTGGGTTTTTTTATAGGGATTTTCACTGGATTTTCATTGCCTTCGGAATAAACGTGGTTTCTACTGTAATTCGAGTTTTTGAGGTTTTTTCGCATGACCCTCTCTCTGAGAAAGAAGGAAGAACAAAATATTGCTGATCGGACTAAAAAAAAAATTAAATGTTCGAAGGACTTTTTCGGATGGAATTTCTTATCTAGTAGGTGGTTTCTAAGATATGAGTCATCTTTGTACCCAGAAAGTATGGAATATTATAATTAGATCATAATTAGAACAATTTCTACTGGCTTAGATAGTGAAAAGGTTTCAGCGGGTCAAGACTCAAGAGTCAAGACTTCTTGGTTTTCGTGCATATGGACCTTTTTAGGAACTGTGGTTTGTACCTGTGGCTGGTGACTTTGTCTCTGCTGGCTGACAGCTGACCATAGCCCTCTGGTGGCCCAGTTGCCCACAGGCCACAGCCTACAGGCCCCCTCAGTCTCTATCACCCTACTCACTGGCTGTGTGTGAGCCTGAGCCCTGAGGCCGAGGGCTGAGGGCCTAAGGCCCGCGAGAGGGTGATGATGAGCGATCTGTCTGATTTCCTACTTTTAGTCTCGATTCGGTATACTGTTATTTTCTAAAAATTACATTTGGGCTTTTTTAGCCCGACGAATCTGTCGCCAATCACGCTCTCTGGTTTGGCAAAAGGTTTTTTGACCCCGTATGATGTTTTTGTTGGGTCACGACCCATATCGTCAGAGAACAAGTAAACATACTTCGAAAGTGCGATATATAAATATGGGAAACGAAAACAACAAAAATGATATTGTTAACGTAACATACTATTTAAGCTTGCTGCCCATCACACACCTCGGACATATCCGTTCGTGCAATTCCTAACTAGTATCGTTCAAAATGGTATGTCGAACCATCAAGAGAGTGTTCTATCCGTAGAGTGTTCAGTTTTCCAGGGTTGCTTATAGGAATGATCTTTTTTTGTGAAGTCGTGCTAAAGTGTCTCGCCTGAATATTTTTTACTTATACCTCGTATTCGTATGTTCTTCATATTAATTTTTTTTACACTGTGGTGTCTGTGTCATTGGTGTCTGCGTCATTTCTTATATCTCCTTTTCGCCTTCTATTTTATGTTATACACGTATTTGTATCCTGCTTATGATATTTGAATGACTGCCTATACTTTGGCAGCTGCACCGGCATGCAGAACTTGGGGTTTGGTTGAGTACTTATACCAACGACTAAATATTATTCCAAAATAGGCTTCGGGCGTCGCTGTCTCTGATCAGGTCGTACAGATCTACGATGCTATTAAACTTGGACACAAGCACAAGTACTTCATTATGAAGATCTCTGATGACAACACAGAAGTAGAGGTTGTAAAGACCGCAGAAACCACTGCCACATGGGACGATTTCATAGGAGATCTACCCGAGAACGACTGTCGTTACGGTGTATTCGACTTTGACTACAAGACCAAGGACGGAGGTCAGCGTAACAAGCTAATTTTCGTTGTCTGGGCACCCGATACCGCTAAGATCAAGAAGAAGATGTTGGTAAGTTATGCCGATATATGTGTTCATTGTCATCGTTATACGTTTGCGGTATACTGACATACATTTATGTTTATCCCTATAATGTGTATCATAACTTTGACGTTTGTGCACGTTCGATTGGCGTGATTTGTCCGTTCAGAACCTTGGACTGTTGTGTTTTATACTTCTGTGGGTTAACTAGATACCTCTATGCGTTGTCCAAGGTAGCCTTTATTCTGTTTCTAAGCACCTTATCATTTTATCTGTAGGTTGCCTCAAGTAAGGACGCTGTGCGCAAAAAGCTTGTAGGTATCAACACGGAGATCCAGGCTACCGACGCGGACGAGACTGAGTACGACGAGGTCCTTTCAAAGGTTTCTCAATACGATTAAATATTCATTTTTAAACTATGCATCTCGTTGTCAATTCATGAGTGTGCGTGTGTTGGTTCTCTTCGTAGTTGTAGGTACGTACGGAGGGGAAACAACTTTTACATTTGCACTGAAAACTCGATAGGTATAGTTATTTTTTTACTCCGTCGCAGACATATGTCTCACTTTTAACGCCTCCCATGTAGCGCTAGTGACTACGCAAAATCTCAAATAATCCCCCACTTTGTATGGTTTGGCCTACAGGCGTAATCTGCTCATATATACTTCTGCACGGTTTGTATGCGTCTAACTCCAACGTGTGATGACTGCTGTAGAACAGCGCAGCTGATTCGAAGCGATTTGTGTTTTGGAACAAACAACCGAAATCAAGTTCTCCTTGACTTTATTACGGGAGTATGATTCTTTCGCTGCGACAAATTTGAAGCGCTCGCAACGCGGCTGACACTTGGAAAATGGGTAGCAGGCCAGCGTCAACACAGAATATCTTCATTGGTTTATTAGTACTACCGTTATTTGTCAGTGGTCTATACGGCTAAACTTCGTTCACTCACATACGGACCCCTCAAGTACTAAGGCATTGCGTATTTGGTAGTAACTTGTGCTGAAGTATGCGTCCTTTCGCTGTAACAAATCCTGAGCGCTTGTACTAAGCTGCTGACACTTGTCAGAAATGTATAACAGTCCGTTTGCGTCACGATTGTGGCATAGGCTTCTTAGATATCCGGCGGCTTCGTCACAACTAGGTCATACTGTATTCTTGCATGTTTCGCACCATATGTGCGTTCTAAAACGGTGCTGCTTGATGATCAAAGGACGAAGATTGCGGTGAGGCACACGGTCATGACTGTCAAACCGGCACAAAATAACACGGCTGCACCGATTCGTCGAGTAGTCCAGCCATCATTCTGGTGTAGCTTTGTGTAGAACAATCCTGTTGCATACGGTGGAAGTGCAAGTTTAGAATACCTTGTGTTAGTATTGTGCGGCAGAGGCGTCGATATTCCAGACTGCCGCAGCGCTTTATATGCACATGGTACTTGAGTGGAAATACACGACCTGGACACCACTTTCTCACCAAGTAGTATCAGCGCATCTCATTTACGCCGTCTTAGTCGTGTATCGATGATGGCAAGTCTGTAGTGTTGTATCTGAACCACACGTATAATATCAGTTGTTTAAAGAAGTGGCCTACAATGATAGAATGTAACTATGCGTACATTGCTCTATAACCGTTATACCTATAAATGAAATAGATATACATGGGTAAAGTATCAGGTTACCTTATGTGAGCGTACGAAAAACTCGAGCACACAACTATTGTAGCTCTGGCCTTGGTTGATATGGCGCAGATAAGTAAACACAAACGGGTCGACATGAAGCTACTAAAGTATCAACAACCGTTTAGCGACGACTAATCATTCGATCGAAAACGGAGTTTCCTGTTTCATATATCGAATTGTGAATGAATGGTTCGTCAATGTGACCCCGTGCACCCTACTGCAGCCAGGGTTGAAGATTCCGATCGTCGTCCATTTCTTTAAACTCTATGACATACAAAGAAAAACATATTTACCTGGGAGAATGTATGTGATGAATGTAGATGCCGTAGCACCAACCACGGCCAACACTTTGCTCAGATCAGTGACGCAAATAGCCACGATGTAGCCCGAAAGACAAATAGCACCGGTGATACCGTAGTAGATTCTGGCCGAGTGGAATACATCCATCCTGGGGAAAACCTTAGCAAGAAGGTGCGTGATATTATCACGGCACGGATGTGTCTGCAGTGGATACGACGTTACTACCAGAAGCGTTATACACAGACGGCAAATCGTCATCAACGTGCTCTTAGGATACATTTTTAGCAAATCCTGTTTGATTTGGTTATTTATCATTGAAAGGGTTATTAATAGATGAAAATGTCCCGCTTCGAAATTTATGAAAGATCAGTAGAATTCTATTTCGTCAGTCTCTCATGAATTGAACGGAAACGAGCTAATGGAACACGTCATAGGATTTACACCTCCAATACATACAAATAATACATACAAAATAACTGGTGCAACTCGAGTATACAAAACTCGCATACCTTATCAATTGTGGGCCCGAAAGTATTCAGCGAAGACCCCAATAATACAATGTAGATACAAAGTGTGGTGGCGATTGAGCTAACAATCACGTAGCGCATGTTCTGACGGCCGTTGTCCTCGATCTCATTATGTATCGTAAAAATATTCTGATGGCAGGTGAATCCAAATATAAAGATGGACACGTACTTCAAAATCTGTATAGTGGGCACAAACGGAACATTCGGCGCCGCACATTGCTCCGCGATATTCACCGGTAGAGGATCCTGGTGGCAGGGATTCAGTCTGCAAATATTCAATTAAAGATAAAACACTCCGTCAGTGTCAGTTTAAGGTGACACAATAAGCTCGCTAAATAGATAAGGGTGAGACCAATATATGTATTCAGAAAGTGTAAATATAGCGAATTGTGAAAATTAGCCAACTTTAAAAGCAACAACAAATACATTACGCCGCGCCCAAATCCTAAAAACTTATAAACTTATATACATATAGAAGCAACGTACACATTTGAAGCAACGTACATATTTCGTGTACAACATATAGTTTTGCCAGGAATTATGCAGGGCCAAATAAATTAAACACACTGATTCGTATCTTGTTTGTATACGTGTTGCTCGTAGAATGGCGTTTTATGCAGTGGTGCATCGATGAGATGACACGCGTGTAATTCACACTAACGAGTATGCATATGCACTTGTGTACTCAAGTGGACAATATAGAACAATATAGACTGGCGCATTGAGATACGGGAAGGATAGTCTTCGTGGAAGTATAATTGCGTGTACTTCAATATAGGGCCATGATCTATCCACAACGACTACGCGCATCGCACTCTTCCAATCATAGGGGAGAGAGCCATCTGCACCAGAAAGGCACACAGACAAAAACAATAGCAAAAACAATAGCAAAAACACAGCCTTGTGGACCAAATATCTGACATACGAGGTATTGAAGCTGCTGATGAAGACCACGAAAACCAAAAAGAGAGCAGCAATATTTCCAATCAGCGACCAAACTCGGAGGGAGTCAAGATGCTTGAGGGTGGCTAGAGGCACGGCAACAAAAAGAAAGACTACCGTGATCCAAAAATGTCTCTCGGCCAGTAGGCCGTCCATATATTCAGCTAGTCCCCATTCGCGCGCCACATCTGGCAGCAGATCACCCACGATGATAAGGTATGAAATGGACACGCCAAAGCACTTGATTGCTACCTGGAATATACATTATTACGGCGGTGTCAACTGCAGAGCCTCATGTGACAAGCGCATATGTGCTACCGTGTAGCACATAGACATTCGATACATACACTCGAACGAATCGAAAGACAGTACAGACAATGGTACAATTCAAGAATCTGAGTGTGTGATACATGGCACAGACACGACTGCGGAGAATCACAGAAGGTGAGAAGGATGGAGTACCACTCATCAGTAAAATGTGAAGGATTTGGATAAACCTATGAAGTGTGAGTTGCTGTGACAAGCAAGGACCTTAGAACGAGTGTGGACCGCCGGCAGGCCAGCAATTTAGTGGCCTGCACATTGCCCTGTAGTCACAGTGGGTCGCAGTCGCCATGCTACCAGTACTACCGTGGATAGTGAAACAATCACACACAAAAAGTACCAAATCGATGGTGTGACGCAATTAGGCAAAATCCAGGATGTAGCATTCTAACTAGCATCAGTATCGTTCAACTTACTGCAAAATCGATGAATTTGCCCATCGAAGGTACTAGATCCAGAGCTATGCCTCCATACGTACTGTCACGGCTCTTTGTATGCTCCATATTCCTAGCACAATGCGCGAGAATGTCCAACCCAAAGACTGCCGCCGAAGCACTCATCCCTAAGAGAATAAATCCAACGAGATACCTGTGGTGGTGGTGTTTACAGTTAGACGTTTATGGTGCATACACAATGTAGAGAATGAAAAACTTATTCATGTTCTAAAGCATAGTGCTACGCTAAAACTAGTTGCACTAATTTGGTCCATGGCCATATCCAGAAACCAACTCATGGATGACAAAAAGCTCTGTTCCGTGGTGTATACCTATACAAAAGATTACATTTATCAGAAGCGAGTATTCGCTCACGAGAAGCATATCTAAGTCTGTGCACATACCATCCTATACCGACCGTTGTACATAAACATACCCCAAAAAGGAGCGAGACATAAAAATATACAAGAAATATATATATATATATATATATATATTACATACATACATA